CAAAGGTCGCACAATACTTCTCCCCAAGAAAGGAGACTTGACTGATCCCAAAAACTTCCGCCCTATCTAATGTTTGAATACACAATACAAAATATTCACAGGGTGTTTGACAAACCTCATGTCATCTTACTGCTCTTCCGATGATATCATTTACAGGGAGCAGAAGGGAGCAAGAAAGGGATGTTGGGGGTGCAAGGATGAACTTCTTGTACAGAAAATGATTTTGGAAGAGGCTAAAAAATATCACCGCAACCTCTTCATGTGCTGGATTGACTACAAAAAAAGCATACGACTCTGTCCCTCACGAATGGATTCTGAAGTCTCTTCATTGTATTGACCTCCCTAAGCGACTACTTGATTTACTCAAGTCTTTAATGAGTTGCTGGTCGACTCAACTTGAGATGTACTCGCAAGGGCAGGTGCAGACTTCGGAATCTATTCCAATCAGAAGGGGAATATTTCAGGGGGATTCCTTTAGTCCTTTGCTTTTTTGTCTGTCTTTAAATCCTTTGAGCTTTCTGCTCAATAAAGAGGAGGTTACCATCCCGGACCTCCTCAGCACAGATCCCAAACACCTCTTACTCATCTCCTTTCCATGGATGACATCCAGCTCCTTGCCAAAGGAGATTCCAATTTGAAAGAGCACGTTCTCCTTGTCGAGTCCTTTTCTAATGATATTGGCATGACATTTGGACTCGACAAATGTAATACTCTTCATTTGAAACGTGGCAAGGTAACTAATGATGGATCGGTCAAGTTACAAGGGGGAGGAGTTATTGAGCATCTTGTGGAAGATCAGGCCTACACCTTTCTTGGAATGCAAGTTCGAGACAAGCTCCAGAATGCCCAGATTCAAGACAAACTTCGGGACGAGTACAAATCTCGTTTAAAGAAAATCTGGAGCTCAGAGCTAAATGCTCGAAACAAGGTCAAAGCCACCAATACTTTTGCTGTGCCAGTCTTTTCCTACTCCTTTGGAGTAGTTGATTGGACAAAACAAGACATCCAGAGTCTTGACCGTCTGACCAGAAGGATCATGTCTGACAACAGAGCCCACCACCCTCGTTCCTCTCTTAACCGTTTATACATGCCAATCAAATCTGGAGGTCGGGGTTTGATTAATGTGGAGGCTCTTCATGATAGAATTTTATTGTGTACTTTTGCACATATTTATTTATCGGATGATCCTCTAGTGATGCATGTGAAGACTCATGATGAAAGCAAGGAATTCCACAGCTATTTTAAGCGTGCCAAGGTTGTTGGACAGAATCTGAAATTTGAGGTTGACTTTGCTGATGGCGATGTACTGCTGGACGGTACAGCGATGGGAGTAAACCAGGTGAAGTCCTTCACCAGGTCTGCCCAGAGTCGGTCTTTTGTGGAGAAGCTTTCTGAGAAGCCATTGCATCGTGTGTACATGCAGTGTGTGGAACAGAATAGCAATCCCACCGACTCCTTCGCCTGGATGTGAAACTGAGGGCTTCCTTTTTGCTGCTCAGGACCAGTCACTTCCCACTCGTAATCGCCTAAATGTGATTCTTAAAGAGAATATTAACATGAAATGTCGACTTTGCAATGAATTCACAGAGACTGTCCAACACCTTGTTAGTGGATGCCCTTCCTTGGCACAAACAGCATATCTTAAACGACATGATGGCATGGCTCGTTCCTTTTACTACCGTCTCCGACATGCATGGTACGATCCTGAACATGTCCAGGGCATCATGGAAAATGATGCTTTCAAACTTCTCTGGAATAGGCCCATATACAGCCTCAGAAGAATTCAAGCCATCAAACCTGATCTTGTCCTTTTCGATAAAGCCAATGAATTTATTTATATCATTGAATTTTCTGTCCCTTTTGACACCAATGTGATTGGCAAGATTCAGGAAAACCATGATAAATATGCGGACCTCGCCTTTGAAATGTCTCGCTGGCATCCCAAGTACACTGTCGCCAGGCTCCCCATTGTTCTCGGTGCCCTTGGTTTGGTACCTCCTGATCTCTTGGCGCAGATCAGGAGAGTGCCCGGGTTCTCCACCGGGAGTACAGCCCCTCTGACACTCTGGGTAATGCAGAAGGCTGCAGTGTTGGGAAGCCTTCATATTCTCCGGGTTCATATTCTCTTGGCGGGTTCGACTAGGCAGCGTTTCCTGGGAGAAGTCCCATTCGCTGTCTGAGCTGCGTGTAGAAGGGGCAAGGGCCCTGAGCTGATGATGAGCCTTACCAGCCTGACTGTGCCAGGATCACCCAAACCCTCTCTGCTGCATACTATCTTTAATCTGTAATTCATAACGTGATATTTAGCATATGAAACCATTTTGCAAAAGTTAAATGATTCTTTCCTTCTAATTGTATATTACAAAAATGCGTTACACTGTTAACTACTTGATATATTAAGTAACGTATTACGCTTTCACAACCAGAATGTCCAGCAGTGAGGCTTTCTAATCAAACGTAGTTCATTGACCTGGCAGGTATTCCCAAATAGACCAGTGAAACATCACCACAGCTAGCGTGTCTTCCCTCACGACAACCATTTCATCAGCAATATGCAACATTGTTATTTATCTGCGGCAAAAACTGTTAAGACCTTCATTTGAACTGCAGGAAGCCATCTTTTATTAACCTGTTTTATTGTTTGTGATGTTTGTCTAAACTTCATCTGTTACAGGCCGACGAGTTTGCCTCGGCGAAGCGATGGCCCGAATGGAACTGTTTCTCTTCCTCACCACAATGATCCAGAGGTTCCAGTTCGTGTCGGTGAATGGACAGAAACCGTCCATGGACGGGCACCTGGGTCTGATCCACAACCCTAAACCTTTCGCAGTGAGAGCTGTTCCCAGGGAATAAGATTGGATTTAAATGATACGGACAGTGTCATCAGAGTACCTGTAAAGTATTGGCCCTTTTCCCTGCAGAGTGACGATAACCCCATAATGCCACTCTCGACTGTGATTATATACTCGAAAGTGCAAGTGTTCCTTTAATCATTTCATTCACAATGCAATATAAAGCATATGAAGAAACCCAGAAAAGAGTACAGTAACATGTGTTCTGTGTTCCCATATTCGTTTCCATGAGTATATATACCAGTGTGATGAGATTCAAGGAGTCGCCATGGCTCCTGGCCAGGATTTCCAAATGGTTATTGTCAAATGATGCATGTGTCCCTGAACATTCGATGCCTAGTTAAAGGGCATTTAAACTCAGATTAGCAGCTTCACAGTTTTTTTAAAACTTTAGGACAATCTTAAACATTGTGAAATTTGAAAAAAGGAAAATGGCTGGCTTAATCCTTCCCAAAAGGGCAAATACGCCATTCAAGAGCTGTTGAAACAGGTTGCCGGTGTGCGATGCGATGCGATATTTCAGTGATCGGCCGGGCACCTAGAATGTCGATTTGATTTTTGACATTTTTTATACCTCCTCCTTCAGCATCTGCTGTTGTAGGTACAAATTACCCCGCGTATAGTGACTGGTATGACAACATGGGATTAAGGGGGATTACGATGGGTAGGATAGGGGGTGCATAGACCGGTTGACCCACTTCACAGGTTAATACCAATCTTAGCCCGAAACAAGTTCAGACGTCAAACGTTCCCAGGGGATTTCCAACCAGTATTAACACCAAACATGATTGTCATGACACACACAAATATGTCACAGAAGGATAATAAATGCAACCACAGTTTATCCAATGGTTATTCGTATTTTCAAAAGTCGTTACCAATATGTTACAATGTTACAAGCACCCGTAGGTCCCCAACAGTAAATTAGATGACACCCCCACCCCACACACCTCCTTCTGAACTGTGCACACACACCCTTTCTCAAAAAGCTGTACCCGCCCCTGACTTAATAGCTGATTGTTATTACACTTGTTCGCAATAGGAAGCTCAAGGTTTAACAAATTCATCACTGTAAACAACGTTGATACGTTTAAGGGTTGAAAGGAAAGGCACACACAATAAATGTCAAGCTGCGAGGAATCACATATCAACCTTGGCATACCCTCGTCACGCCCCGCTGGTCACATCCCGACTCATGATCGTTTTAAGAGACGATTACTGAACGTGATTTCAGCACTTGGAGTGAGTGAGTGAGTTACGTTTCACACTGCTTTTAGCAATATACCAGCAATATCGCGACGGGGGACACCAGAAATGGGCTTCACACGTTGTACCCATTTGGGGAATCGAACACGGGTCTTCGAGCGGACGATTTAACCACTAGGATACCCCACTGCCAACTTCAGCACTTGGACATTTAAACATTCTACGAATATTACGAAGTCTTTCAAAGAATTGACTAAATGTAACTGGAAACATTGATATTTGCAAAATCATGTTTTTCAGTTTACTTGCCTGTTAGATATGATACATGATTAAGAAAAACATTCTATGCAGGCGAATCTTTAGATATAACGTTTTTCGACCAATCTTAACAGGAAACACACTCCAGCTGGATAACTTGACTGGATCACTCATGTTCCTTACACTGTTGAATTAATTGCCATCGGTATTCTTTTGAAAATTCAAATTCGTTTTAGAGGTAGGTGATCTACAGTCCCCTCAGATGAATTCAACGTGTTCTGCCTAATAATAGACTGGATGTTATGCCAGTTGGATTACAAACGACTGTATCCGTGGTCTCTTCAGAGATTAACACTTCAAGTTTAAAATAGCTATGAACAGTCAATGACCCTGGACCGCGGCAGCCTGGATCAGGGGCTGTACAGTGACACGGCGATTTGACCTAGCCACATCCATACAACTACAGGTCGTGTTACATGGACACCCTTCCATTCCTTGACGTGTCGCGTCACCTCTGTAATGGACACCCTTCCATTCCTTGACCGGTAGGGTCACCACTGTAATGTACAGCTAGACTCATATAGTTTGGGACAGGGATTTGTTGTGTTGGTTGGTATTAGCGGGGTTAGTGCACACTATTGACAGTAGTCAATCAATTCTGTGGAGGTCAGTTACAGAGGAGTGATGTTGGATGTATTCAGCGCTACGCCTTTCTTGGGGCTTGTTGTTGTAGTGGCTGCGTTGTGGCTGTTGACACGGCGCTACCCTGGACTACCCCCAGGCCCACCTCTCCTCCCGTTTGTGGGGAACGCCCTGTCCAATGGCTCAGATCCAAAACTCACCTTTAGGAATCTTCGCAGTAGGTATGGTGACATATTCAGTGTGTATCTCTTCAACAAGCCTGTTATCGTCCTCAACGGCTTCACCGTTCTCAAAGATGCACTTGTCAAGAACGCTGACGTCTTCTCCGACAGACCATATACCTTACTGAACGACTTCATATCAAGAGGGAAAGGTTCGTTCCTTTATGTTTATAATATATTTTTTCATATCATTTTTGCAGTATATTTTGTTTACAGACAAAAGCGTTGCACTTATACATCCATTCGAGGTCGCTGACATTGTTAAAGCCTCTCAACGTATCCCAACTGCGTAGACCGATACTCATGATACGGGTCAGTGGATGGTCAGACCACAACGCAATCATTTACCGACATACAGCAGAAATATTGTTGAGTTGAACAACAAACAAATCTCAGATAATTCAGATAATTTGATATTATTTGTGTTTGATGTGGATTCACAACACGTAGGTAACCTATTTGTTTTCCTTTGATGTACAAAGCACGTTTTTGATCTCTTGTAGTTATCAGAAAGCACGACCTACACGTATGTTGTGACATGTGATTTACTCACTATTTAGTGTGCTGCTTTAAGGCGTGCACGCGAATTATGAATTGAATGTGTGTGATGCTGATGAGGTGAGGTGAAATTGGGTTTAGCGTCGTGCTTGAGAATATTTTGCTCATATGACGACGTGCATGCGTGTGTATGTGTATGTGCGGCTGCTTGTACTAGCCCAGACTTAAACTGGTTTTATAGTGTTAGCCCACTGAGATACCATGCCGCAGTGAAGCATGAATACCCCACTCAGACACATTATACTGACTCCCGAGCCGACCAGTCCTTGTTGTACCCATTAATGCCGAGCGCCAGGCAGGAACCAACAAGTACCATATTTAAACGTCTTTTGGTATGACGCGATCGGGGATCGAACCCGCGACCTTCCGCTCTCCCGGGCGGACGCACAACACCACGGAGGCGGTCTAATGATAAGAAACAACAAGAAAATTAAGGGTATATTGTTAAATGAAATTGAACATATCATTGGCCAATATGCTGACGATACTGAACTGTTCTTAGACGACTTCTTTGATGGGCATTTTAGAAGTTGAGTTGATGAAGAATAATGACAATTATTATGGATATACAACTTCTTTTATTCCGTTCTTAGGCTGTTCGCAAGCCTCTCTTAATGAAGCAATGACAACACTTATCACTTTCTACAATATGTCTGGTCTGAAGATAAACATTGACAAAACAAAAGCAGTTTGGATTGGTGCAATGGCTGGTTGTAAAATAACTTTATCCCATGATTTCAAGCTGGACTGGCATTGTCACAGGTTTGATGTTTTGGGAATAAAGCTTAATGCTCATTTAGAAAACTGTGAGTGATCAATACAAAGAAGAGACTGGAAAAAACGAAACTTAACCCTGATTGGAAAATAACCGTTATTAAAAGTTTAGCTTTATCAACTATAGTTCATGTTCTTACATCTCTTCCCAATCCTCTTAAAGATGTCATAGCAAAATTGAATAATTTATTTTTTAAATTCATATGGAATGATAAGAAAGACAAGATAAAGCGAATTAATTTAATGCGACAATATGAAAATGGTGGTCTGAGAATGGTTGACATCTTTTATTGATTCACTAAAAATTGCATGTTTAAAGAGATACGTGTCAAATTCTAAGTGCTATAGTTTAGTTGGTTTCCCTTTAAAAGACATTCTTCCATTAGGTTCAAATATTAGTAAACAATACAAAATCGAAAACCCGTTTTGGAAAGACGCACTCGATGCATGGAATAAATATATTTAGGGCTATGAATGGAACAAAGATATAAATTAAATTCTTATGCAACACATTTGGTTAAATCACCTGTGTAACCACCCTAATTTGATTATAATGAACTGGTTCCAAAAAGGAATAATACACATTAAGGATATTTGTAATAACCATGATTTCCTTACATTTTCAGAACTTTGATATTAGGGGTACGATACTTGACCTAAATCGTGTTCTTCTCAGTATTCCCCCAAAATGGAAAGAGGTTATACGAACGACAAAACATCCAAATAAATCAAAATTGTCAATATGTTCCCCTTGGAATCATTTGAGCAACACCAGTAAAGGCTCAAGATTATTTTATGATAATTTCATATCTGAAAATAATTTTCCCAACTTCTGTCAGAAATGGGACTGCGAATTGGGTGATCATTTAAATTGGAAAACTATATCTTTACAATATAGACAATCTAACAAAGACACACAAATTTATATCTAAGCCATATATACAAAATGGAAGTTGATTAAAATGAAACTGGTTGATAATGATTTAATGTTCATCGTGTGGTTCGGTAAATGAGAATATATATTGAATTTCCAACTATTAGACTGTTTTGGAAAGAATGTATCAATATTGTTAACAGACTATTGAACAAAACATATAAACTGTCTACTATAGATTTTGCTGCAATAGCAACCAGCTACTCAATCACATGATTTTATTGGCCAAACGCTATATATATGTTATGAACCCAGTTTTAATATTTATAAAGCAGTATTAAAAGATGTGTATCAAACTGAAAAATATATTTGTTCGAAAAATATCAAAATGGATTCATTTAATAGAAAATGGGATGTAATATCACCAGAATTGTCACTGTTATGACGTCATCTTACGAGGATGCAGTACTTGCATGTCATTGTGATTCCACGATGTTGCATATAGTCTTCTATTCCCAGCACATAATGTAATTGAATATGTAAGTGTACCTTTCTATGCATGTTGTCTCTCACTTTAAGGCTCGCAAAATTGACGTTTGTATCCAACTAAAGTGAATAAAAAAAACACAAAAAAAAACAATCTCAATAATATTTCCGTCTTTCCTTGTCTAACAGGGATAATCGGAACATCCGGAGATGTGTGGCGAGAACAAAGGAGATTTACGCTCAACACATTGCGAGATTTTGGAATGGGAAAAAATATTATGGAGGACAAAATCAACGAGGAAATATCTCAATTTCTCGCAGCTATTGATGAAAAAATGGGACAAGGGTTTGACTGTTCGCGTTTAGTGCACAACGCTGTATCTAATGTCATATGTTCCACTGTGTTCGGCAAACGGTTTGAGTATACCGATTCTCTGTTTGTCAAGTTTCTCAAAGCACTGGAAGAGAATCTGGTTCTTCTCGGAGGTTCCAGCGTGGTAAACGCCTTACCTCTTGTGAGATTTTTACCTGGAGATCCATTTAAGTTTAAAAAAGATCGTCAACAATGCCTCTCTAGTCGAGACCCTCCTCACACAGCCCAGTATGAAGGAACACCTCAAAACACACGACGACAACGACGTGGAGGACTTCCTCGGTGCATACATTAAAGAAATGCGACATCGCCAACAACAAAACGAAGACACAAGCATGGACTGTAAATATCCTTCAAAACATGTTTGTGATTGTAAAAAAGCGACAAAACCATTGTCATACTGACAAGAAATCTCTTTCAAAGGCAAATTCTTTGTACGATTCCGACAATACGTCATAATCATGAAGTGGTAATGATGGCGCCCGTCACAAGTACATGTTGAATCAAGCCAATTTGTACCATTTGGAATATATCATATACAGGTATCGATTAAAATATCACTGTAAAATGCTCAAGCAGTTAGTTTTTCGTGAAAATAAGAACAGCGTTTGATTCTTATCTGAAGTGTGAGTAAGAACTTTCACGTCGCATGGACATTGTTTCAGCCATAGGGAGGTGGGGTAGCCTAGTGGTTAAAGCGTTGGCTCGTCACGCCGGAGACCCGGGTTCGATTCCCATAATGGGCACAATGTGTTAAGCCCATTTCTGGTGTCCCCCGCCGTGATATTGCTGGAATATTGCTAAAAGCGGCGTAAAACTAAACTCATTCAGTCAGTGTTTCAGCCATAAGTGGCATCCTATTTGAAGCATGTCCTCATAGTCAGTATGCTCTTGCCGCTATCGATACTTTCATTTAAATTAAAATTCTGAATCAGTTCCATGTTTAATATTTTCTGTTGTCGTGTTCCGTATTACATGATATTGATGAAATAATCTTCACACTTTTATTCCAGTCGAAAATCTAAACAGGGTAATTGCAAACCTGTTCGTTGCCGGAACAGAGACAACGGCCACCTCAATACGCTGGGCGCTGGTCTACTTCCTGAACTACCCGGATGTACAAGAGAAATGCTTCCAGGAGATTCTGGAAAACGTTGGTCAGAGTAGACGACCATCCATGAAGGACAAGACGAACCTTCCTTACGTGGAGGCCACCATTACTGAAGTTTTGCGACACTCGAACATTGTTCCCGCAAACCTCCCTCACACTGTTCCCCATGATGTCCAGTTCAGAGGGTATACGTTCCCTAAAGGCATCCTGGTCATACCTAACCTGGATTCCGTCCTGAGGGACAACGACGTTTGGGGGGACGCCGACAACTTCAGACCGGAACGTTTCCTGAACGACGAAGGGAAGTTCCAAAAGAAAGAAGAGTTCATTGCCTTTTCTCTTGGTGAGTGTGAGTGAGTGAGTGAGGATGTTTTTACGCTGCTTTTGGCAATATTCCAGCAATATTGAGGCAACGGGACACCAGATATGGGCTTCATGGCGAGTTTGAATGACAAGGGGCTTCTACATTACACTCATTCTAGATTAAGGACTGTAGGCTAATATCTGTACACATAATAATTATTCATAACGTGATATTTAGCATATGAAACCATTTTGCAAATGTTAAATGATTCTTTCCTTCTAATTGTATATTTAAAAAATGCGTTACACTGTTAACTACTTGATATATTAAGTAACGTATTACACTTTCACAACCAGAATGTCCAGCAGTGAGGCTTTCTAATCAAACGTAGTTCATGGACCTGGCAGGTATTCCCAAATAGACCAGTGAAACATCACCACAGCAAGCGTGTCTTCCCTCACGACAACCATTTCATCAGCAATATGCAACATTGGGTTTTTTATCTGCGGCAAAAACTGTTAAGACCTTCTTCATTTGAACTGCAGGAAGCCATCTTTTATTAACCTGTTTTATTGTTTGTGATGTTTGTCTAAACTTCATCTGTTACAGGCCGACGAGTTTGCCTCGGCGAAGCGATGGCCCGAATGGAACTGTTTCTCTTCCTCACCACAATGATCCAGAGGTTCCAGTTCGTGTCGGTGAATGGACAGAAACCGTCCATGGACGGGCACCTGGGTCTCATTCACAACCCTAAACCTTTCGCAGTGAGAGCTGTTCCCAGGGAATAAGATTGGATTTAAATGATACGGACAGTGCCATCAGAGTACCTGTAAAGTATTGGCCCTTTTCCCTGCAGAGTGACGATAACCCCATAATGCCACTCGCGACTGTGATTATATACTCGAAAGTGCAAGTGTTCCTTTAATCATTTCCCGGAATTTCATTCACAATGCAATAGAAAGCATATGAAGAAACCCAGAAAAGAGTACAGTAACATGTGTTCTGTGTTCCCGTATTCGTTTCCATGAGTATATATACCAGTGTGATGAGATTCAAGGAGTCGTCGTGGCTCATGGCCAGGATTTCCAAATGGTTATTGTCAAATGATGCATGTGTCCCTGAACATTTCCTGTAAGATGTACCAGCTGGTCCTTCTCCATAGGTGACCGAGAGGTTCATCGTGTTTGGAAATGTTTAAATACCAATACAAATAATTTGTAATAAGTTTGATTTTTTTTATCCATTACATATCTCTCTAGTGAGGGTCGTTATAAAGTATACACATATTCATATATAATAAAAGTAAAGTGGTTTGCAGTTTGTCTTTTCAGGGTAGGATTACCCACGCATTTGACAATCACCATTACATACCCTCTGTACGATCGTATATGTGAATGTCCCAAACGGAAAGTTTCATTTCTGAAGTTAATCACACTTTTGCTATTTTCACTACATTAAATGAAATACAACAGAAAGTGTACACCAAAGTTTGATTGTGGCCAAACAAAACACTGAAAAGAAATGGTCACTGGATGGTAAAACATTTGATTCGGGAATTAAATGTGGCATGATCTTTAGTTTATGATTTGACATGACAAATTTTAACCCTGATTGTCCAGAAAAAGTTGCTTTAAGCAATGACCAGGCATCTTGTCAGAGGAACATGGAATATTGGAAAAAAACAGATCAGTGAAGCTGCAACAGAGGCTTTGTTTAATTTTGCAGCATTTCGCACATTGAGTGGTCACTTGAACATGGATATAAAGATGAATGACGCGTTTTCACACGACCACTGCCATAGAAATATAAAATCAAGTTTTAATTAGTTATCAGAATTCAGTAAAACAATCTTCGACACCAGTATGTGGAGACAACACTGGCGGACAGGAAAGGTTTGATGTTGGAGGGCACTCAGTGTAACTCGTAACTACATGGCAACAGGCTCCAAATGGTCTTGTCAAATCAACCAACTTTTGTTATATAAGGAATTACCGAGTCAGTCACTACACAATCAATTTATTCTCCTCTTAACGCAGCAAAGTGAGTTAACTTCTGTATTCCAAGAACACTGATGTTCACTTTCCACACTTTTAAAGGATCATGAGAACACACTCCTTGCCTACATTTAAGTTACTGTTGCACAAATCATCCTCAAAATATAAGGGGCCACACTCCACATCACCAGGAAACATTTGACAAAATGTTCTTCCACGACTCCCGCTCATGCCTTTCAAGGGTTCTATGGACAACCATGGGCCATTGATGGATGGTTTGCTTAACACAGCATTCTGCAATATTTCAGCTATTTGACAACGGTCTGTAGATCGAGTCTTGAACAGAAAATTCAGTGATAGACAACATAAACAATGAGTCACAAATCTCACAGCATGATGATGAAATATCAACCAAGTTCCACAACAACCTGATCCACTTGGTCGTTCCATGACTGCCATAATTTGCTGGGAACTAATTGTAATTCCGTGTCCCCATGGTAATTGTATTTCCATTGTGGTTTCCAGTTCGATTTGTAAAGTCTGACAGAGAATAACAAAAACATTAAGATTCCCCACAGAAATTTATTACTCTTTGTACATGTCTCACTGGTACCCACAGCTCTCGATAAGTTGTTGCTGTTTCTTGACCTTGGGTTGGACATTTTTCCTGGCTTGTTCTCGGAGACGCTGTAACAGACAAGAGGATATCAAGCTCATGCCCTGGGTTGCAAGACCTCTGACCACAACTGAAGACTTCAATTAATTATGGTTGGGTACATTATAGTTTGAGGTTATCTACCAATTGCTTATAAGTTTCAAGGGTCGTTAAGAGAGTATCAACAGTTCTAAGATAGATCTGTATATTATATTTGAAATGAAAGTTACATCTGTGATACTTTTTCACAACTTGGTCAGAAGGCACATGAATTTTGTGTCTGCAGTGCCTGCAGTCATTAAACATCTAAACGTTCTACATTTGCACAAGTACACCCATTCCTGTCAGTCTCAGCTGGTAGTGCATGTTGCTCTTTTCATCAATTTCAATACCAGGTTTTTATCATCACTGACCAACGAGGTACACAGGTAAGCAATCATTAAGGAAAGGAAACCCTTTTGTCAAAAACTAAACATTGTGTCCAAATTGTTTGCATGAAAGTTTGTCAACACTTCAATCTTATTTTCTCCGTGTGCTAAGCTGCAATGTACTTTCAGGTAAATTTGAGATGGGAATATTCAAGCACTTTTCTAATCTGCGCTATAACTAAAATTAATTCTGATAGTCTCACTCAAGCCACAAATTGACAAATTCATGCTGCTTGGATATGAACAGTCATCAGAAATGTCCAACATGCTGTCAGCAAACACTGGCACAATTAAGATGATAAACAACTCCACTTAGGATTAGAACTTACAAGGGTGGACTTCCTCCTCTTGAAGTAATCATTTGATTTGACCTTCCTCTTTTCTTCAAGCTTGGCCACCACTCCCTGGTACATCCAGCCAACCTCACTTGACAGGCGGTCCAGCTGACAGTACTGGAACACAAACACTGCATCACAACGTGTCCCCACTGGCATGAGACAATGGTGGAAAGTCTGAGCTTGTCTCAGATGGTAGTGCATGTAAAAGCTTTTTCATCAGCTTCAAAACGCTATGGGATGAGTAAACATCACAGACAAGTTTTCAACAGAATCTCCTCAAAGCATGATACTTCAGACAGGGAATTATACAACATGAAGTGAGTGTTCAGATCATCAGGTGTGGACACCTTGAGTTATTAACAATTACTTTACCAATTACATTTCAAGAGAAAGTAACCCTCGATTTAGCATGTGGATAGTATAAGCTGTTAATGAGAGGGATATATACGGTAAGCAAAATTCAAGCTGCATCAGAGCTTGGTAATTTTCTTAATCCTGGACCACATAAAGCAATGAGGATTTATTACAAGTAAGGAATACTGAATGCACCACGGTCTTACCCTGCTTGTTGGCTTCAGGCGAAGCACTTTGAGAGCGGAGGGAACAACCTGCCTCTTCATCTTGTCATAGGGTCCAGGGATCCCCTCAAACATCTTCAGCTTTCTGAGGGCAGCTTTGCCACGAGGCTGCTTGTGGGGGAGCATACCTACAAGAAAACATGAAAGTCGCTGTAGTGAGTCATGAAGGTGAACTGCCGTTACCTTTATAGACACTGACACAATATATTTCAATACTAAAGGCAACTCCTGAGAAATACAAAGATAACCACTGAATTGATTAACATTATTTTACTACAATAACTTCATTTCCTCAGTTCTGTGTTTGTCTTCAGGTTTCTGACAATGTAGGTAAAGTCATCACTGGAAATGTTATAACTAAGTGGCAGAAAGAAATTTCATGTTGGACAACACTTCAAATAGGAACATGCAAGGCTCTCAACCCTGCTAGACAATATGTGGTGACATGACTGTACTGAGTGAGAGAGAGTTGGGTTTTACACCACTTTTAGCAATATCACAGCAGGGACATCAGAAATGGGCTTCACACACTGTACGCATGTGGGGAATAAACCCAGGCCTTCAGTGTGTCAAGCGAACACTTTAACCGCTGGGCTACACTACCACACTTATGACTGTACTGATTAAATCAGGTTTTTATAAAGATATATACACCTGATCATCATACAAAAAATAACTGTCTAACAATTCATTTGAAAATTCATTTTGATCACATGTTGCAGACTCATAAATTACCCAATGTCTCACATAAGTCCCATGAAGTATTTTAACCTAAGGGTCTACCTAGGCAAGACACTCATGACAAAACTGAGCACTATCTTAGTTTCTTGATACAGAGGGGGCAGGCATATTACTACAGCTGTCTCAGATGGTAGTGCATGTGAAGTGGTTTCATCAACTTCAAAACGCTATGGGATGGATAAACATCATTGACAAGCTATATCTTGAAAAGTGACAACTTCAATAAAGTAGAAATGCAAATATCAACAATTCAGCTACCATAACTTGGGACCTGAGCAATAATGTGAAAATGGAGTATCAAACACAATTAGGAATGGGCAAGTGAGATATGTTTTACGTCACTTTTAGCAATATTCCGGCAATATCACTGTGCAGGAAACCACAAATGGGCATCACACATTGCAAAAACCTACAGAATCAAACCGGGTCTTTGGCATGGCGAACGAATGCCTATGCCACTAGGCTAACCCACAACCCCACTGAAATGGTTCTCAAGGAGCTATTTAGACAGACAAAATAACCAAGACACCCCAACACTGAATAGATAGCTTGAACAATGGAAGCAGCAGCCATTACACTTTGTATTATGAACGTTTTCTATAGCTGTCTCAGATGGTAGTGCATGTGAAGTGGTTTCATCAACTTCAAAACGCTATGGGATGGATAAACATCATTGACAAGCTATTTCTTTAAAAACTGACAGCCCATTCTAAGAATCAAGGATACAAATATAAATAATTCAGCTAGTCATCTCTGATTTGAGAAACAATGTGAAAACAATATCTACAACAGGCTTCAAAGGGCTATTTAGACAATACACAACAGCAGGGATTTACATGGAGCCCTATATTCGAGGGTCCCTGGGACTCATACTCGTAATTTTCAGGGGTCCTGGACAACAAAATGGGGGTCCCAGACACTTAAATATTATTATTAGTATTGTTACTGTATTGTGTATCAAGATCATCACATTGTTACAGTAATTAAATTGCAAATAATACCATAAGCCAGCTAGTAGCAAACTCAGTGATAACGTATTGTACTTGATTGGAATTTTTTACAAAAAGTGTTCAGACTTTTCCTGACTCCCTGTGGACTCGCTAATATATTTTGCTGCGTCCATTGTCAATTTTTATGCACAAAGGACGCAGGAATTCGCTTCCTGTAAATCCCTGCTACAGACATGACCAAGACACCCCATCACTGAATAGCTTTAAACAATGGCAGCAGCAGCCATTACACTTTGTATTATGAACGTTTTCTATAGCTGTCTCAGATGGTAGTGCATGTGAAGTGTATTCATCATTTCAAAATGCTATGGGATGGATCATTGACATTACATCTTTAAAAGATGTTTAACACCGCACTCGGCAAGATTCCAGCTATATGGCGGCAGTCTGCAAATAATTGAGTCTTGACCAGACAGTCAATCCAGTGATCAACAGCATGAGCATTTATAACAAGCATGGGTTGCTAGTGACTATTTCTAAAATGGATCATTCAAGGGGCAACACGCTAACACTTACATCGCAAAAATGATTTAAACCAAGTCAGCCACACCACCCGATCCCCATAGTGACTATTTCTAAAATGGATCTTCAAGGGACCTTCAAAAAAATGACAGCCCATTTTAAGAAGCAAAGATGCAAATATCAATAATTCAGCTAGTCACTGAATAACAATGTGAAAACAATATCTACAACAGGTCACAAGAGACTACTTGGATAATACACTACAGACAACATAACCAAGACACCCCAACACTGAATAGCTTGAACAATGGCTGAGGCAGCAGCACTTTGTATTATAAGGTAGTTCTACAGCTGTCTCAGATGGTAGTGCATGTGAAGTGGTTTCATCAACTTCAAAACGCTATGGGATGGATAAACATCATTGACAAGCTATATCTTGAAAAGTGACAACTTCAATAAAGTAGAGATGCAAATATCAACAATTCAGCTACCATAACTCCGGACCTGAGCAATAATGTGAAAATGCAGTATCAAACACAATTAGGAATGGGCAAGTGAGATTTTACGTCACTTTTAGCAATATTCCGGCAATATCACTGCGCAGGAAACCACAAATGGGCATCACACATCACAAAAACCTACGGAATCGAACCCGGGTCTTTGGCATGGCGAACGAATGCCTATGCCACTAGGCTAACCCCCACACCCTCTGAAATGGTTCTCAAGGAGCTATTTAGACAGACAAAATAACCAAGACACCCCAACACTGAATAGATAGCTTGAACAATGGCAGCAGCAGCCATTACACTTTGTATTATGAACGTTTTCTATAGCTGTCTCAGATGGTAGTGCATGTGAAGTGGTTTCATCAACTTCAAAACGCTATGGGATGGATAAACATCATTGACAAGCTATATCTTGAAAACTGACAATAACTTCAATAAACCAAAGATGCAAACAATACATTTAACCACCATAAGCTCTGACTAGAGCAACAATGTGAAAATGCAGTATCAAACATCATCTGAAATGGGTCTCAAGGGGCTATTTAGGCAATACACTACACACAATATGACCAAGACTCCCAACACTGAATAGCTTTGAACAATGCACTTTGTATTATGAAGGAGTTTTGTAGATGTCTGAGAAGGTAGTGCATGTGAAGTCATCAACTACAAAACACTATGAGTGAGGGAGTGTAGTTTTACGCCACACTCGGCAATAGTCCAGCTATATGGTGGACAAAACACTATGGGATGATACGCTAAATACAAAATAGCCAAGATAACCAAACAATGAAAAAGGATTCCAACAATAGCAGCAGCCATTACAAATTGTATCTTATAGCTGTCTCAGATGGTAGTGCATGTGAAGTGGTTTCATCAACTTCAAAACGCTATGGGATGGATAAACATCATTGACAAGCTATATTATTTGACAATAAGAGTTGCCTACTACAACAGCAGCAATAGAGGGTTGTTATGTTTTACAGGCCGGTTGCAAAATGCAAGTTAAATCTTGTACTGGAGTGAGTTACATTTTATGCCGCTTAGGCACTATTTCAGCAATATCACGTCTGGGGACACCAGACATGGGCTTCACATATTGTACCAATGTGGGGACTGGAACCCGGGTCGTCAGCTTGAGTGAAGGCTATAACCACTAGGCTGCCCCTCTTGTACTGAAACTTGTACTTGCACAAATTGTTTAAAGATTTCTTAGCTGGAGTACAAAGAGGATGAAAGACCTTTGGCAACAAGACACGACAGGTGTGTATGTGGCAACAAGACTGACAATACATCTGGTTGTGTAACTCATGGATGAACAGATTAATTTGACTGGACATCTATTTCTAGCATCATGTCATCCAAAGTAGCCCCAAAAACAAAGCTATGGTGGTCAATGTGTCATGGGAATGTAATGTTAGAATGGAGATGCCATACACTGGATAACTGATTCTGGATAACTGATTGAGGCCTAATGTTTAGAAAGACAGACATTCTGACAAGGCTCAGTTGTTCACAGAGAGCCAGAAAAACCTATGGCCATGTGGGTATGATACCCATACTATTTAAACTAAGTGGGTATTTCCAATTTCAAGTGGTTATCTATACTTTTCGATACCCACCATATTTTTAAGATCCAGGGTATTCATTTCAAATAACAAGTGTAAGAGAGGTGTGCCTGACACACACTACAACATGACTTCATAAGACATTTTTTATTCAAAATTAACCATGGATATTTTCTTTTCCACGGAGCAACTGGGTTTTTTCAAAACCATGTTCCCATCGTGTTGTTTCACTTCCATGCCGCAAATAGCTAATGTTACAAGTTCATTTAAGATATCTCCGGCAACTGATTCTGATTGTGAAACACAGGATAATATTAATTCATCTAGCAGTCCTCAAATGAAGTTGTTTTCTGTTTGTAAAGCAAAAAATCCAAGATATTTTACTTTGAGCGTGTGGAAGCTTTCGACCATGCTTGCTTTGTTTACAGGTCATGTACGCAGGAAGCAGCTATTTCATTGGTAGCTATTTATAGATTGGCCAATCAGTGAAGAGTTAACAAACTATAACTGGTATTCTATCTGCGTTGCACATCTTAAGTGCGTTTAGAATTATACAAGAATATTCTGATCGCAAATATTTGGAGATGGAAAAGTTTGTTTCGATTGGCTTGAATTGATACGATACCAACATAATTTTGATATATTGGGCAAATAAGCATTCTTATTTTGACATAGCGTAAACGTAAATATTTAGTGTTTTTTCATACGCTGGCATTTATATTTCTTCCGTATTTCAACTTTTCTATAGCGTATTATACGCAAATACGCAACTCATCTGGAGCTGTGTTCAGCAGTTTCTATCAGACTTTGACTATTTTCACAATTATTCAATGTAGGTAAGGATAATCATCATTTAGAAACTGCTGGCTTTGTAATATATCACGCTTGAGACACACTGCACCTACATTTTCTCATCAACATCCATATTGCTTCTGTTAAATTCTTATTGGAATTTGAATGCTATTTATGGGTAACAGATTCATACCAAATGAATGAATTTCCCCACAAATTAAAATAAATTTGTTCTTTGCTTCACTTGAAGTTTAAAAAAAAAGTGAAAGTCATAATGCAAGCACAGTGTTTCCAAAATGAAACTACCAACCAGGAGAGAACTGATGTGTATTATTTCAAAACATGACATTTACAATTGCTTTTTTATTAGATGGCTTGAAAATAGACACTATCAAATTTCAAATCCTTTCTCCACAATTGAAAATCGCCTCTCCTCAAATCAACACAAACAGCTGGTTTATATCTCTCTTCACTGAATACATATTCTTAGTGAGTGAGTGATCGATTATGGTTTTATGCTGTTATTCCACAGTATCACAGCAAGGGATGCTACAACTGGGCTAAAGAACATTCCTACGATCAAGGCATGCACAAGTATCACCAGTGAGTGAAACAATATCCTTTTGCCATATCATTTCCTCAGTTCTGTGATTGTCTTCAGGTTTCAGACAATGTAGGTAAAGACATCACTGGAAATGACTGATTCAATTCTTTGAACAAGTTAAAGTTAGACAACTTTTCATCACTTCATTTATGTTGGGATTCTGGTCATTTTAATCTTCCTGTAAATTTGTAATATGTGAAACACTTTCATTCCCTGCTTTAACTTGTCTTGCATCTTAAGCCTATAAATTAAAAAGCTAAGCCACAGTTTAAGTTGAGCACAAATGCTGAAAGGTACCTCGGACAGTCCTCCAGAAGATCATTCTGGGAGCCCGGAAGTGGAACGGGCCACGAGCAGGGTTCACGTTGCATCGCTTCTTCAGGAAGTCTAGGTACTTTACTGTAACACAAAGGTCAGTTGGAATTAGCACAGGTCACAAATACACCACCTTCATGTAGTGTCTACAATCACATATAATGGAATGAATTTGTACATACGTAATATTTACCATGTAGATTCCATCTGCAAAATTTTAAAACACGAGACCTTGTCTTCATGGCCATGCAAGAGTACCTCGAAAGCTTACAGCATTTACACTGTATATTGTCAATGTATCATTTTTGAGGCATACACTTGAACAAAATATTCACTACCACAATGGTACTATCATCAAAATAGTAATGTGCCACATGCATTCCAGATACAACTTACAGGTTGCTTAAGTCTAGAACTAGTGTGTATATTCTGATGTTATTGACATGGACATAACAAAATGCATGGTTATTGCAATAACTGAGATCAAAAACTTACATTTGTTTCTGTAGAAGTTGCCAGATATGCAGATGCCTTCACATCGTACAACAACAACTCGTTGACCTGGAAAATACAATGTAACTGATACCAAATCCTGCACTTACGATCATTATTTGTCATCCAACATTTCACTGCAGTTTCTGTGGTGCATGTTCTGTTTCAGTCTGATGACTGAAAAAACAGCATTAGTTTGTTCTGACAAAGTACCCTAATATTTATCCAATACCACGATGAAAGACAAAGTACTAAACTTTAAAAAATAAGACAATAAAACACTTTTAATAACTTCAATGGCAATTTTCTATACTGAATATGTTATTTCCTCAGGTTTTGGTAATCGTCATGATTCAGACAATGTAGGATAAGTCATCATGGGATACCATATTCAGTTTGGTACCAGTATAACATGTACCTAAAATACTTGGGGTAGTTGAATAACATTATCATCATTTCAGTAACTCCAATCTTTTGTTCTTTATGAACATGACTGGTTCCCATCCAGCTGTTCAATATTTACCTTGCAGTAATGTCTTGGCAACAATTGAGGCCAGACGCCCGAGCAGATGCCCTCGGGCATCAATCAAAATGGGCTGAAAGCAAAAACATAACCATCAGTTTCCTTATAACAATATCAATTCAGGTTGATCACGTGTATAGGGCATGAGATAATCAAGTGGCATGGACAAGACTTACAGGACTTCAACTAAAACTATACACTACGACTATGAGATAGGACATTCATAGGCATCATACAATAATCAAATGACAATGGAATTATATTCACATACACTTTCAAATGCTGACATTTAAATTGCATTTTGTTAGTACTACATTACTTTAAATTTATAGATGGGTTTACATTTTCAGTTTGGACTGCTTGTTTTAACTGTAAACTTCTAATTGTTCACTTTCGCTGTTCAGCAGAATTTGTTTGTTTATATTTGTTAGTAGTTACACTTTAAAATGTGAAAAGCGCAGTTAAGCTGTGACAATATAATATTGACAACTTGTTTGGTCAGCTACCTCAATCAGTTCATAACAAAAAAAACTTGATAAGTATTCTTAGACCATTACATACAAATTCACCTGTTCAAATGTTTCTCTTACAACTGAATGTGCCATGATAGAGTACTGCACTTGACTGCGCTTTGGGCTTTTCAGGATTAATTAAGCTGCTGGGGTTCCCTAACCCTAACCCTATTGGATCGTAAAGGGTGCCATACCCTAACCCTAAGGATCAGTAAAAGGGAGGGCTGCGCCGGTAAAGTGCATTCTAGCCCCTCGGGGAGTACTGCACTTGACCGGTAGCACTTTTCCAGATTAATTGGCTGCTGGGGTTCCCTAACCCTAACCCTAGCGATCGTAAAGGGTGCCATACCCTAACCCTAAGGATCGTGAGGGAACTGGCGAGGGCTAGCGCCGGTAAAGTGCATTCTAGCCCCTCGGGAGTACTGCACTTGACCGGGCGACTTTTTCAGATTAATTAAGCTGCTGGGGTTCCCCTAACCTAACCCTAGCGATCGTAAAGGGGTGCCATACCTAACCCTAAGGATCGTGAAGGGAGCGAGCGGGGCTACGCGCCGGTAAAGTGCATTCTAGCCCCTGGGGAGTACTGCACTTGACCGGGCGCACTTTTTCAGATTAATTAAGCTGCTGGGGTTCCCTAACCCTAACCCTAACGATGCGTAAAGGGTGCCATACCCTAACCCTAAGGATCGTAAAGGGAGCAGCGAGGGCTGCTCCCGGTAAAGTGCATTCTAGCCCCTCGGGAGTACTGCACTTGACCGGCTACTTTTTTCCAGATTAATTAAGCTGCTGGGGTTCCCTAACCCTAACCCTAACGATCGTAAAGGGTGCCATACCACCCTAACCCTAAGGATCGTAAAGGGAGCAGCGAGGGCTGCTACCGGTAAAGTGCATTCTAGCCCCTCGGGAGTACTGCACTTGACCGGGCGCACTTTTTTCAGATTAATTAAGCTGCTGGGGTTCCCCTAACCCTAACCCTAACGATCGTAAAGGGTGCCATACCCTAACCCTAAGGATCGTAAAGGGAGTAGCGAGGAATGCTCCAGTAAAAGTGCATTCTAGCCCCTCGGGAGTTACTGCACTTGACCGAGCGCACTTTTTCAGATTAATTAAGCGCTGCTGGGGTTCCTAACTCCTAACCCTAACGATCGTAAAGGGTGCCATACCCTAACCCTAAGGATCGTAAAGACGGCGAGGGGCGTGCGCTCGGTAAAGTGCATTCTAGCCCCTCGGGAGTACTCGCACTTGACCGGGCGCACTTTTCAGATTAATTAAGCTGCTGGGGTTCCCTAACCCTAACCCTAACGATCGTAAAGGGTGCCATACCCTAACCCTAAGGATCGTAAAAGGGAGTAGCGAGGGGCTGCGCCGATGTAAAGTGCATTCTCAGCCCCTCGGGAGTACTGCACTTGACCGGTACACTTTTTTCAGATTAATTAGCTGCTGGGGTTCCCTAACTCCCTAACCCTAACGATCGTAAAGGGTGCCATACCCTAACCCTAAGGATCGTGAAGGGGAGCAGAGAGGCTGCTGGTAAAGTGCATTCTAACCCCTCGGGAGTACTGCACTTGACCGGGGGCGCACTTTTCAGATTAATTAAGCTGCTGGGGTTCCTTAACCCTAACCCTAACGCATCGTGAAGGGTGCCATACCCTAACCCTAAGGATCGTAAAGGGGAGTAGCGAGGGCTGCCGGTAAAGTGCATTCTAGCCCCTCGGGGAGTACTGCACTTGACCGGGCACTTTTTCAGATTAATTAAGCTGCTGGGGTTCCTAACCCTAACCCTAACGATCGTAAAGGGTGCCATACCCTAACCCTAAGGATCGTAAAGGGCAGCGAGGGCTGCTTCGGTAAAGTGCATTCTAGCCCCTCGAATAATAACTGGTTATCCGAAGATAGAGCTATTTCAGATTGTCCTAACAGAATATTTAGTATTTAGTATTTACCATGATGAAAGACAAAGTACTAAACTTTAGATCATCAAGCATACAAATAAACCGTGATTTTTAAGTCAATACATCCAATTATCAGACTTAAATTGGATAAATGGTACACAAATGCTTTTTCAAAAATCTCAAGAAAGTAAAGAATAAAGCAATAAATGACGTGAACAGGGATTCTACAGCTGCAATTATGGCCTGCTACGAGTTATCTTCTAACTGATCCCAGTGAAGTATCACGAAGTTGTAGCACTTAGTAATTCTCCTCAATGACATGTCATAAATAGAGATAACTGACGTACATGACTTGTACACTTTTAGGGTGATACAAACTTTGAATCTGTTTACTACAAATATTGTTCTCATATTCCTCACTAAACCATTTGTGACTTTGCGATCTTCCACATACATTCGGTATCCATATTATACCACACGTGGGTTGTGGAGCCTTATCGAGCAGAACACGCACGAAAGGGCTTTCAATTTGACATATATTGCTAGTTCATGTTATAATGATGATTTGCTATGCATTGAACAGCATTTCCACATTCTTGGGCTTCCAAACAGACTATAATGATAGCACAGTGTTGTCGTCTACCTTGTTCTGAAAACCCATGATGGCTAAAAGGCAGATTAAGGGGGTTACACGTGGTTTTCCACGGACAAATCGGAAGTTGACCAGGCACCTGTCTACAAAAACGAGTAAAAGCGGTTAGCTTGCGTCGCGTACAAACAGTAGAACCGGTTTAACACGGAAAGAAAGCCAAAGGGAGGCCATCCACTTTCAGATCAAGAAAAACCGCTCGCATTTATTTTACGATTTGCCGCGGACTTGTCGATTGTATTTTCATCACTCGTCTTCCTTTCCTTGGGAACAATAAATTAGGCCGGTTAAATCACTTTAAGAAACATCTACCTAATTTAGACCGAAGGAATAAAGTTTGAGATATGCCCTAAAATGCGTTTTTACTGATGAAAATACCAAAAACTTAGAAAAATAAGGGGTAGTGGGACGTTATTTGATACAGCCTGTGTTACGTCATCAGCATGCACGGTATCGACAGGTGAAATTGACACCTGAGCACACGCTCGGGCGAGGGGTCATCTCAATAGATGTTTTCTTCAAAATGTTGAATATGTGTACGTATAGTATATGTATTGGTTATGTAAGGGATCATTTGTGTATGTGTGTTTGTTGTGAAATAAACATACGAATTACTGTACATTGGAAAGAATCCTATCACTTGTGGTATCTTATCGATTGATTGTAGAAGTGTGCAACGTTTTAATAAATGTTTTGCATGTCAACAGTATATTTCATTGCAAAATATGGATGTAATTCGGTCAGTTTAATCTAGTTGTGAACATTGGCCAAAGATTTCACGAGGTCACTGTTGTAGCTTCTTTAGAATATATATATTCTTCTTCTCCTAAAGTTTGTAGACCGCCCGTCTAAGTACTCCCTTGTCAAAGTTGTCAAGGATGGTTTTACGTCCCGGTTTTGCTTTTGAGACGGTCCCTGTCTTGTCTGATTTGTTTACAATATTGTACTGACTGACTGAGTTTGGTTTTACGCCGCATTTAGCAATATTCCAGCAATATCACGGCGGGGGACACCAGAAATGGGCTTCACACATTGTACCCATGTGGGGATTCGAACCCGGGTCTTCGGCGTGACGAGCCAACGCTTTAACCACTAGGCTACCCCACCGCCCCTACAATATTGTAAACTTGTTGGTAAGACATACCAACAGCTCTACAAGTTCTGTAATAAACCATTTCTATACTAATGAAAGGTCTACCTCTGTCTTTTTCAAGCACAAAAAACTTATAAACCTTTGCAACAATCGTCTGCAAATAGTTGGCCATAGTGGACGCTGTGATAGATGTGCATGCATGACGGGAAACTTATTTATCAAGGCTTAACATTTATATTAATATTTCTTCAATAAAGAAACGATAATTAAGTAAAGTAACACAAACATTCAACATTTATTTGGTTAAGAAAAACGTTAATCTATATTTTTACACCACCTGTATTATTAGCATAAATGTAAAGACTATTTCAGATTTCTGTTGTTGAACTCTGAAAAAAATCTTAAGTTGTTGTTTTGGTACCAAATTCTCTCCTGTAAACTGCCCTTTAAATGCATGGGAATGTTAAATCAAATGTTAGAAAGTTAGAATGTTGTGCACTTAACTTCGTGTTTAGCATCTAATGGCATTACTGCAACGCACGTTTGCTTGACTGATGGCTAAAATGTACAATTTTATATCCTTTTGGGAAGATTTCAAAGGATGGAAAGTCGGAGTTAACTAGGTGCTTATGCTGAGACTATGTAAAAGTATGCAAATGTATCATTAACACTGATAATGTTTATGTAAATGTTCATCGTCTTTATGCTTGTCAATACTATTCTTTGTATCTGATTTTACCACTATTGCTTTATTACATAAAGCAAGCCCAGGTATGTGTAATGTCATAATAAAAATTAAAACATAAACATAGGAGTAGGAGTTTATTGCAGGGATGAATAGTGGTTTTACTGACTTCTAATATTGGTACAGAGTATTATGATCACTGGCGTCAAGCTTGGATAACTTGTTTTGTGCTTCGGCTTTGTTATGTACATATGTCGGCGATCGGGTGAATTTGCAGGCCAAGGCAGTAAGTCAACGTTGTGGTGTTGCAAGAAATCCATAGCAACCATTGCCGTATGAGGGCGGACATTGTGCTGTTGGAATGTTAACCCAGGGCCTTGACGTTGCAGAAAAGGAATTGCCACAGGTCGAAGAATCTGATCCCTGTAGCCCACACCAGTTAAGTTGCCCTGAACAATCACCAAAGGAGTTCTTTGGAGTTATTTCACCCCAAATCATCACGGAACCACCACCAAAGCGATTCCTCTCAAGACAAAGGCCTGTGCATAACGTTCTCGCACGCGTCTATAGGCACATTGACGCCCATCACTATGGGAAATGTTAAACCTGGACTCTTCTGTAAAAACAACATTTCTCCACCAAAACAAGGGTCTGCGGACATGATTTCGGCACCACATTCGGCGAGCTTGTCGATGACGTTGTGTCAGGATAGGCCGTATGGCGGGACGTCGTGGTCAGATCCCGTGATGACGAAAACGTTGTCGAACTGTGTTGGGGTGGATACGGCGAAGTCCTGGGATGGTTCGGGCAGTCATCACTGCAGTCTGAAACCTGTGGCGAAGATGGGTCACCCAAATCCATATGTCCTGTCTTGGCGTTGTTACACGTGGACGTCCAGAACGTGGCCGATCGATGACGTCATTTGTGTTCTGGTAGCGTCTCACCAGTGCAGAAATGGTGTTCCTGTGGCAGTGGAAATGTGCGGCCACTTGTCGTTGAGACATTCCCCCACGGACCATCCCAATGGCCTCATGACGTTGTGCAGACGTGAGCCTTGGCATGCTATGCGTTTCAATAGCCGTTTAATTTTTTGAACGATCGCAAGAGCAGGGGTTGAGCTTTCCAAAGTGACAGTATTGTGTGGCATTCATTTGCTCTGTTTCTCTTTCCCGGAATGCACGTGCAACAACGTATTGCACGTCTCAGGGACGAACCCACTGACGTCACGGAACGTGGCACGTGCATGCATGTTGGGTACATGTCACTAATCTTTGAGTTTAAATCCTTATGTCTCTACACAGGTTTGATAAATTTAGATTTTAACTTTTTGTATGCACAGTTTCTTTATGTGTTTAGTATATTTTTTGTAACTGATTTTACCACTGTTTGCTTTATTGCATAAAGCAAGGCCAGGTATGTGTAATGTCATAATAAAAAATAAAACATAAACACGAGTAGGAGTTTATTGCAGGGATGAATAGTGGTTTTACTGACTTCTAATATTGGTAAGTATTATGAACACTAGCGTAAAGCTTGGATAACTTGTTTTGTGCTACGGCTTTATTATGTATACATAGTATTACATGACCATGAAAAATGTAAACATTGAGTGTTATATACTTCATTATAAAACTGATGTCTGATGTATTCTAAGTAAAGTCGACCGCTTTCAGGGAACTATAGTCTGTATACTTGGTTTGCATGTATCAGTAACTGTTTCCTAACGTGGGTACAATGGCAGTTTATCTCTGAACAATATCATAAATAACCCGCCTGATTTATTTGATCCATTGGTATGTGCATGTATGGCACATATACCGACTTTATTTCTTACTAAAATTCCTAGACTAACATCTAGTCTCTGAAATGAACATATTTTACCAAAAAAGCTCATATTGAAAAGACCGCCTCCGTGGTGTAGTGGTTAGAGCGTCCGCCCGGAGAGCGGAAGGTCGCGGGTTCGATCCCCGACCGCGTCATACCAAAAGACGTTAAAATATGGTCCCTGCCTGGCGCTCGGCATTAATGGGTACACCAAGGACTGGTCAGTTCGGAGTCAGTATAATCTGTCTGAGTGGGGTATTCATGCTTCACTGCGGCATAGTATCTCAGTGGGCTAGCACTATAAAACCAGCTTAGTCTGGGCTAGTACAAGCAGCCGCACATACACATACACACGCATGCACGTCGTCATATGAGCGAAATATTCTCAAGCAGGACGTAAAACCCAATTTCACCTCACCTCACCTCATATTGAAAAAATAAAATATAATGAAAAGAAGCCCTGAGACTTTCTTCATTTTCAGAAAGCTGTGGAAATCTAGACTTGCCACATTTTCAAGACTTGAGTGGGCTTTCGTGGATATATTTGCTTCAGGGTCTGTATGACAGACTATAAAATTCCATGTTCCCCGTTTTACTTCCTCCGTTTCAATCCCGTATGTATACGTGTGTGTGTGTTGTAGTTTATTTAACATGTTTTAACAACAGAGGAAGTTGAAGCATAAACAAGTCGGTAAAGACAGTGTCTTGAGCGAAATTCAACACCATCCGGGTCCAACACTCTTACTACCTTACAGTATCCTGTTTCACGATTAAACCGCATTGGATACATGTTTGATAATTTTTTTGATAAAATGCATACAACGATAACCATGTCTTTGTCCAGATCGTCGAAGTTGTCCGCAATAAAGTCTGTAACATCAGCTGGGTGGTGAGGGTAGCCTCATGGTTAAAGCGTCCACTCGTCACGCCGAAGACCTGGGTTCGAGTCCTCACATGGGAACGATGCGTGAAGCCCATTTCTGGTGTCCCCGCCGTGATATTGCTGGAATATTGCTAAAAGCGGCGTAAATCGTACTCACTCACTGTAACATCAGCAAATCTAGTATCTGGTGCGAAAGAGGGACATACACCTCAGAATACGCTTCAAGTGACATACACCATGATTTTGACAAGAAGATGTGTTATATCTTTGTATTGGAACCCAAGACTGAAATAAGCATGGACCAGCTCGAGTTTCCGCTCCACTCAAGATACTAACTTGTGTGCTCAATATATTCACTTGTGCACTCAAGATACTAACTTGTGCGCTCAAGATGCTAACTTGTGCGCTCAATATATTAACTTGTGCGTAAGAGGCGACTAACGGGATCGGGTGGTCAGGCTCGGATGACTTGGTCGACACATGTCATCGGTTCCCAATTGCGCAGATCGATGCTCATGCTGGTGATCACTGGATTGTCTGGTGCAGACTCGATTATTTACAGACCGCCGCCATATAGCTGGAATATTGCTGAGTG